AATAGATGGAAGTGTAATGTGAGAGAAAGAAATAATTGACCATGTGAATATTGTGATTTGAAAATATGGAAGAAGACATCGCGAATATAATGGACGAAGTGTTTGGAGATGAAGAAGAAATGGACATTAATGTTGAAAATATTGATATAGATATTGAAGATGAAGATGAAGATAAAGATGAAGAGTAAGCATTGTCTGAGGACAGTGATTACCTGAGTGATCAGACTGAGGAGCTTACGGATTATGTGGAGAAAATTGTTACACGTTCGGAGTTACACTCTTTGCACTGAATGGTAATAAAAAACAGGGTACAATACAATTTTACTATTTAACGTGGACTATATCGAGACTATACCGCGACGATTTTTGGAAGACGCTGGTGGTGTAGTATTCGAGCGAGTGCGAGACATTATACAAAGACACGATAGTATGAAAGTGAACATCGCGTTCAACGGCGAGTTTGTGACGGGCGATAAACGCACCAATAAAAGTATAAACACGAAAAACTATGAACTCTTTCGAGTATCAAATTTAGACGAGTGGTACGAGCAGCACGTCATTGAACCCACATTCGCTCGAAGAGTTTCAAAAACGCGACAGTGGATGGGCGCTGTCACATATATTAAATTTGACAATTAATGTGAATAAATATAATCTAACGCAGTTACATCGAAATATAATCCAATGATGTTACATCGAATTGCCGCGGGAAATTATGTTAAAGCGAGCAGTGATCAACGTACAATCCAAAGACAATGCGTGTTTCGCATGGTCGGTGGCTCTGCATCCAATCGAAAGGCATATGGATCGGGAATTATACCCGCATTATACGACAGTGTTAAATCTCCAAGACATTACGTTTCCAATGACGTTGAATCAGATTGAAAGGTTCGAACATCTCAACGACATCTCAATCAACGTCTACGGTATCAAAGAAAAGGAGATACTTCCGAAGGAGATACTTCCGGTTGACAGATAAGAAGATGGAGAAACATGCAAATCTATTGTACGTGCAGAATCCGCGGACAACGCGGGGCACTTCGCATACATCAAAGACCTGTCCCGTCTTGTGAGCTCGCAAATAAACAAAAAAGAACACAAGAAATACTTTTGCGACCGGTATGTATTTTAACAAATTTTATTATTTCTCTTATAAAATTGTTTAATAAATACTGAAAAAATAATTTTCTGTTTGCAGATGTCTACATTACTTCAGTTCGTCTGAAAAATTGCAGTCACATACAACGGACTGCGAAAAGATGAACAATTGCGCCATCCAACTGCCGAGCGAGGACGACAAGTGGCTCGAATTCAAGAACCACAAATAAGGAACGACTTCCTTTTGTCATTTACGCGGACTTGGAGTGCGTACTACGGCGAATGGAATCGGCAGAGAAGGAAGACTTATCAGCGTTGTACACTTATCAGCAGTACGAGGTATTTAGCATACTATGTGCGATGCTCGTACGTGTTATCGGTATATCGATTTCGTCGTGGCGAAGATTGCGTTATGTGGTTCGTTCGGCAATTCGAAGACTTGGCGCAGTAAAAAAAGTAAAAATCTATTATCCGCGAATGTCCTTATGGAAACGTTGTCGAGAGAACAGTGAAAGGCATATCGTAGCGCAACGCGTTGTCATATTTGTGAAAAACTATTTGCGTCGGGCAACACGCGGATACGCGATCATTGCCGGTCGTTACTGTGGTCCCGCGCATTCAAATTGTAATCTATAATAAATTATAAAGATTCATATTGCATTCCCATAATATTTCACAACTTATCCGGTTATGACGCGCATTTTGTCATCATGGAAATAGCTACGGCGTTCGAAGGCAGAATCGATGTGCTGCCGATAACAAAAGAAAAATACATCTCATTTATAAAACACATTCAAGATACTACCGAGAGATCAGATTCACGAAATTGCGTACGACTGCGATTCATAGATTCGTACAAATTTTTAAATACTAGCCTCGATAAATTGGCATCTTTTTTAACAAAAGAAAATTGAAAATTTTACATTCCGCATTTTCGACGTTATCAAACGAAGATTTTGACTTGTTGACGCGCAAAGGTGTCTTTCCCTACGAATACATGGATCACGCGGACAAGTTACAGAACACGCGCCTACCACCGCATGAATCATTCTATAGTTCGTTGACCGGTGATACAGTGTCGAAGAACGATTACCCGCACGCCGCGAACGTCTGGCAGCGGTTCTTCATTGAAACTCTAGGCAAGTATAGCGATCTGTATTTAAAAACCGATGTCTTGTTATTGGCCGACGTTTTTGAAATTTCCGCGAAAGTTGTAAAAGAAGAGCGAAGATGTACGGTGAGGATTGACAGATAAAAAGGATACCAAAAAGGCGAAAGGTGTAAAAAGTAACGTCGTAGCGCGAACAATAACATTCGATGATTACGCGGTGTTCGAATGAAGAGATCGAAAACTTATACATGACTCGTCGCCAGTCATGTATAAGAAT